GGGGAGCTCCTTGAAGCGAAAAAAAAAAAAAATGTAACCGCGATAGGCCTTCAGCCCCCCCTATAGTTGGAAACTGCTGATCTGTTTGGCGGCCTTCTTGACGGACTGGGGCCCCACCGATAATGTCGAACAAATATGTGTCCGCGGCACCCGCCGCACAACCACGACGTCGACTACGACGACCACGATTACTAGTACGACTACGACAGGGACGTGACTACGGCTACGACGACGACTACGACCACGATTACGCATAGTGAGCGGCGGCTACCATTTCGACTACGACTACGACCACAAACTACAAGTACGAGTACGACTAGCCAACGAGCACCTGTACTCTACAATATCTCTTCTGTTTAAGGAGTGCACTTCAGATACTGAGGAGAATGTCCAAAAGGTTTATGTGTATACCTATATTTGCTCACAAACGAATATTTTCCTCCTCCTCCTCCTCCCCCTCCTCCTCCTCCTCCCCCTCCTCCTCCTCCTCCTCCTCCTCTCCTCCTCTCCACTCCTCCCCCTCCTCCTCCTCCTCCTCCTCCTCCTCCTCCTCCTCCTCCTCCCCCTCCCTCCTCCTCCTCCTCCTCCTCCTCCTCCTCCCTCCTCCTCCACCTCCTCCTCCTCCTCCCCCTCCTCCTCCTCCTCCTCCTCCTCCTCCTCCTCCTCCTACCTCCTCCTCCTCTCCCCCTCCTCCTCCTCCTCCTCCCCCCCGCACCTGGCCGCGCCAGCCGCCGTCGAGGTCGAGCGGCCTCAGGGGCTCTGCCGGGCTCGCGCGCACCAGCGGCCGCTTGCGCGGGTCGGCCTCGCGGGAGAGCAGGGCGGGGGGGGAGGAGGGCGGTCAGGATCAAGAGAAGGGGGGGGAGGAGGAGGAGGAGGAGGAGGAGGAGGAGGAGGAGGAGGAGGAGGAGGAGGAGGAGGAGGAGGAGGAAGAGGAAGGAGGAGGAGGAGGAGAGGAGGAGGAGGAGGAGAAGGAGTAGGAGGAGGAGGAGGAGGAGACGGAGGAGACGGAGGAGACGGAGGAGACGGAGGAAGGGGGAGGAGGAGGAGGAAGGAGGAGGAGGAGGACGAGGAGGAGGAGGAAACGGAGGAAGGAGGAGGAGGAGGAGGACGAGGAGGGCGACCAGGATCCAGAGAGGGGTGCGTGGCTCGTGGACCTTTTTTTTCTGCGGCGCCTCGACTTCGGGCGGAAGGGGGGGGGTCTGGCTCCCGACCTCTGCTGAGATGCGACCGCTTGCAACGGGGCGTCCCCATTGGGGAGACCCCACCTGCTTAACAAAGGCGCGCCTAAAGACCATCCAAGAGCAGCCAGGATCTACTCAATGGGGGGGGCAGGGGGGGTGCGAGGACCCGCGCCGATCGGCAAAACAATGCATAAGAAAACGATCATACAGTCAACCCGTATACTACAGTAAGGACTAGAACCACACGCGCGCGCTTCGCGCGCTTAGGTTCTAGCAAGACCCAGGCCGTGTCAAGTTCACAGATCCTCTGAAATACTTAATCACAAATGGCATGGAGATGACGCACACCGAAGCGTCAGAAAACGCGGGCCGAACAGAGATCGATCACAGGCAATGGCACATCCATACAAGGCAGTGGGAGCCAATGCCAAGCAGCGAAGATAATGTTCAGAATGGAGTGCCCACTGGCACTGCAATGCAATGCAGTGCCATGGAAACCAGATGCGAACGCCATGCAGCGAGGCGCAAAGCAAATCAAAGGCAAGCAATGCGATGCAACGCAACTGAATGCAAAGCAGAACAATGCTTGCCAGCGCAGGGCCGTTTGCGCAACCATGCCTGTGCACATCCGTCGGAAAACAATCAAATGAAAAACAATGCAATACAATGCACAATAACGCAAGAGGCCGTACGAAGCCGAGGGTTCCGGAACCTCAGGGATCCCAGGGATGACGTGTACAAAAAAAGTGGTGGCTGCCCCGATTCCGCCGTTGGTAAACACCCATATGACGCTAGCGCGCCAGCTCGTCCTTCTCCTCGCCACCCTCCTCCTCCTCCCTCTCGCAATCTATCCTCTGGCTGGTTGGCTGGCCTCAACTGGCGACCTTTTAGATTGCCACACAGACTTCTTACGGGGGGAAAGAATCCCCCCCTCAGGCTGCCGGGCAATAACTGTCACAGGTAGCCCCCGGGCCATCGGCTACGCAGCCGGGACAAGCTACATGTTTTCTAAGTTGGCCAGAGTCGTGGGGAGCAGCGTAGTGGGACGAGAGTGGCCAAAGTTATGAGAAGAAGGGTGGGAAGCAGCGTAGTGGGACTGCGAACGAAACCGAAATTCACAAATTTCCCAACGTTCTTTTCTAGCACCCAGGAAGGCTCCAGGAAGGCTCCAGGAAGGCGCGCAAGGCAGCCACAACGAGGACCCAGGGCAGCCTAATGGGGGGATGCCCGAGAAGCACTAAAAGAGCTTGCCAAAACAATGCTGATCATCTCTTTGGATGCCTTTTTTGGGCGCTCTTGGAAGGCCATTTGAAAAGTTCTTCGGTCTCTTGCAGGCATCTCGGAGTCTCTTGCCATATGTGGAGCCTCAATGGGGGCCTCTTGATGCTTCTGGGGGGGTTGCCCTCGGGCGCTCCTGGGGCCTCGTGGAAGCCTGTTGGGGCCCTGCTAGCGGTCTCGGGGGCCGTCTTCGGGGGGCGGGCTCGCTCTGTGAGTTCGGGCTCCGCCTCTTGTGCCCCTCTTGGGGCTCTCCTGGAGCGCCCTTGGGCTGCATTAGGGGCGTTATGGGCCGTCTTGAGGCCCTGTCGGGGACCTCTTTGGCCGTCGTGAGAGGTTGGGAGGGGCTCTTGAGGTGGCTTAGAGAATTGGAGTCGCGAAAGGACAAGAGCACGAACATCCTCGAACAACCGATCGAGAATCAATATTTGTTGCTTCTTGGTGCCTTCGGCCCATGCCGCCACCGTTCCTGGATTGTGGGTTTAAGCATCTTGGAGATTCGCTGGGATATCGTGCAAGGCCTTCCAGGGGCCTTTTTGAAGCAGTGTTGGAGCCTCCCGAGGGGGCGTTTTGCAGCCTCTTGGGGCCTCTTTTCTGAGCAATGTCTTAGGGTGGAGGGCTCAGGGTGGAATCCAGAATGGCTCTTGCGCCTCGAAAATCGATCCGTCCTGTGACTCACCTTTTGCAAGTCCAAGCCTGGAAAACCAGTCGAAACGGCATTACATACTTCACCCTTTGCCCTCCACCCAAAGAAAAGGCTCGGCTTTGGGGCCTCCTTGGGAACCTCGGCTGGGGCGGAGAAGGCTCGAGCCGTCGGCTCGCGCTCCCCCCCTGTTGGGGCACCTCTCGAAGCCGTCCTGGAGGCCCTCGGGGGCCGCCTTGGGGGGCCCTCTTGCCTCGGGGGCCTCTTGGGGGGCCTCTCGGGGCGAGGTTGGAGGCTGGCCTTTTGGAGCAGTCCTGGAACGTCGGAAACCCGAAAACCCGAAAGCACGAAAAACACATGGAAAGCTAACTGGATATCAACGCTTGTGGCATCTTGGAGCCCTCTTGGGCCGCCTTGGGGGCCCTCTTGCCTTGGGGGCCTCTTAGGGGGCCTCTTGGGGCGAGGTTGGAGGCTGGCCTTTTGGGCAATCGTGGAATGTCGGAAACCCGGAAACCCGAAAGCACGAAAACATTGGAAAGCACACTGGATATCGATGATTGTGGCATCTTGGGGCTCTCTTTGAGGTCCTCTCGGAACGCTCCATCATGGGGTCTTGGGCGCGTGGTGCGCTTTTGGGCCGTCCTGGCGGCCTCTGGGCGTCCGCTGCGGTGGCCGAGAAGCTGAGGAGGACCCTCGAGGCTCAGGGAACGCCCTGGAGCTTTCAAACAAATCCGCTGGCGCTGGGGACTAAAGTGGGTTACAGGGGGGAGGGGGGAATTTTGAAAAAGTGGAGGCCCCAGGGCCCAGGGACCTGCCGCTGGTTATATGTTAAATGTATATGTATATCTTATAACATGTATATATATAGTTGTCATATATATAGATGTGTGTATATATATGCGGTGAGGATGCAAGGGCCTTGAAGGCCATGCTGACGTTGTTCGAACGAGGCTGGCCAGCGAAAGCCGCTAAGGATGGGCCGAAGAGACAAGGATACAGGGACAGCCTTGGACAATTGCTCATCCTTATCATGCAGGTTGACTGTGAGCTCGCATCTCGGCCGATCAAATGTTCATATGATCTGGGCGTTTTGGCTCAACGACCTCGGCCTCCCAAGGCCCGCTGCTGGGCCCGAGCGCACTCTCGCATGGATCTCTGGGGCGACAGACTTCCCCGGGCACCATTTTTTGGAATGTCCTCCCAAGGCGCCTTGCCAAGCCTTGCGAACAGATTCAAGGCGATCAGAAGGGCCATCGGAGAGGCGCTAAGAGAGATTCAGGCCAACACCAGAGCGCTCCAAGAGGAACCTCGACGGTCCGAAGACGGCCCAAGAGGCCCCCAAGACGCCCCAAGAGGCCGTTAAGAGAGCCACGAAGAAGCACACATCGCCCCAGTCCAATAGGAGAATTGATATTTTCAGCATCTCTGCTTTTCGAGTCTTCGCAGCGTTCAAGGCGGCCCGATGGGCCCCCGACATCGCCCAAAGGCGGCCCAAGAGGCCCCCCAGAGGGTTTGAAGATGGCCTAAGAGGGCCACAAGACTGCCCACAAGAATGCCCCAGGATGGCCCAAGAAGGCTCCAGGACGGCCCAAAAGAACCCCCAAAGCGCCCACACGGCGTTCTCCTACGAAGTATATCGGGCTAACCGAGGACTAAGTTCCTCGATCGAGAGAGAAAGGCAGTGGATCTAGATTCGAAGTTCGACGATCGAAGATTTCCTGAGTGCCCGGAGCCCTCCATGCATTCAGGAAGCGACCGACAATCGATTTCTTCGGAGCTACTGCGACTTCTTCGGCGTGTCATGGGAACGCTCCTTACTTTCTCAAAGGACCTTCGCGCGTGAAAAACATCATTCCTTCCCCAATCCTGCGCACAAGCGTGCAAGCGCATCGGGCAAACGCGGTGCCAGCAGGCACCAGGGATATCAGAAAAATGAGCCGTGAGCAAGCAGCCCAAGGGGGCAAATCGCGGGGATGCGTCAAGCGGGGGCTTCGCCTGTGAGTGCATCGCGGGGAAGTCTCGGGCGGGAACCACATGCTCATGGGGCCCGTATTTCGCGTTTGTAATCCGACTGGGCCACCTGCAAAATCTATCAGGCGTAGAACTTGAGCAACACGAACGTGCAAATTGTGAACATGGTTCCAGCGGGGACCCATGTGGACGAATTGCTAAGATGTGAGATGCGGCAACCCCCGCCTTATTGGGCCCGCACTTCACCTAGGTAATCTGAGCGGGTCATCGCCAAACTCGACCATCCGTAACACATGAGCATATCAAGGCACTGTTGAACAGTTTTCTTGGAGCGGCGTTGGATGCGAATGGGGCATGTGTCCTCAGTGGTCGTTATGCCCCACATCCTACATGTGGTTCTTGTTTTCTTCGGGCACCCCGCGCACGAACCCTTTCACCCCCCTCCTCCTCCTCCTCCTCCTCCTCATGTTCCTCCTTCTCCTTCTTCTTGTCCTCCCCGTTTTCTCTCCTCCCAGACCACGCACCCATGCGTGCACCAGTGAAACACACACACACACACCCGTCATCATCATCATCATCATCATCATCATCATCATCAGCATCATCATCATCATCAGCAGTAGCATCATCATCAGCATCGTCATCATAATCATCATCATCAGCATCAGCAACATCATCCGCATCATAATCGCCACCACCCCCACCAACACCAACATCGCCATCATCAACATCATCACCAGTGCCGTTATCGCCAGCACCCATCACTCATCATCATCATCATCATCACCACCACCACCACCACCACCACCATCATCATCATCATCATCATCATCATCATCATCATCATCATCATCCGAACCAGCATCACCATTTTCTTCCCCCAGCAGCATCAACACTATCAATGTCATCACACTCACACATCCACTCAATCACTCACACACGCATGCGGTCAGACGGATGAAATCTCGAAAAGGGGGCCTCGTCTGTGAGTGAATCGCGAGGAAGTTTCGGGCGGGACCTCCTTCCCTGCGGGGTCCGCACATCCATGTTCGAACCCACGCGGGTTTCGGAAAACCTGAAACATTCCTCACGTCTGGGCTCCTCACGCTTCCTGACAGAGTCTCGAGCGGGAGCCTAACCTTTGAGCGAATCGCGAGGAAGCCTCGAGCGGGAGCCCCTTCCCAATGGGGTCTCCGCCTCCATGTGCGAATCCGCGCGGGTTTCGGACAACCTGTAACTCTTGTCGCTTCTGGGCTCCTCTGGCTTCTTGACAAAATCTCGAGCGGGAGCCGAATCTTTGAGCGACTCGCGCGGGCTCGCGTGGTTGTCCCAACGGCCTGGCCCACTTGGTTGCCCCAGCGGCTTCGAGATCCGGCCATCGGGCCATCGGGGAACTCGCCTTGGCTGGCCGTGTCGGCGACAGCGCCAAAGAAAATCGACCTGCGTGCCCAGGCCAGCAAGAAGGAGAGGTGCACGAATAGAAGAGGCGGAATGGAAATGAGGACAGGGAAAAAGGAGAAGGAGCAGGAGGTGGAGGAGGTGGAGAAAGAGAATGTCGAGGGTAATGACGACGAGGATGAGGGGAGAAGGTGGAGGAGGAGGCGGAGGGGGAGGAGGATAAGACAGTCAACATGGAGGAGAAAAAGGAAGAGGAGCAGGAGAAGGACGCAGGAGGAAATGGCCAGGGTCATGCTACATGGGCTCCCATGCTGGATCCAGCCGACGAAAAATATTGTCTGGAAGCGCCGAATGTTCTCCCCCCAATCACGTCACGATTCTCGCGCCGGCGCTTACGCCCGCGATCGCCAGGGGACAAAAAAAAGTGGCTCCTGGAGCTGCGCACCTTGCACATCTTGCGCATCCTTCGCCTCTCCCTCACTTCCTCCTCTCCTCCTCTCCTCTCCTCCTCTCTCCCTCTCCTCCTCTCCTCCTCCTCCTCCGTCCCCTCTCCTCCTCCTCCTCCTCCTCCTTCCCCTCCTCCCCCTCCTCCTCCTCCTCCTCCTTCCTCCTCCTCCCCCTCCTCAGCAGTCCCCCCGCGGCGCCTGTCGGGCCACTGGGGACCCCGAGTACTGCTGCAGGTTCGCCAGCAGCCCCTGGCGGACCGGCGGGACACGGCTGCGCCAGCCGAGCTCGCAAACGGCCGACCCCGGAAATCCTGAATGACGGGCCCGTATTTCACCACCACCACCACCATAAGTTGGAGGGGGAGGGAGTCCTCCTCCTGCTCCTCCTCCTCCTGCTCCTCCTCCTCCTCCTCCTCATCGTCGTCCTCCTCCTCCTCGTCCTCCACCTCCTTCCCCCCTCCAACGTGTGGCGGTGGTGGTGGTGGTGGTGGAAAACAAGCTCATCACTGAACTGAGCAGGTTGACGGCCCACTCTTCCTTCCGTCGCCTTCCGCCGGTCTGGGGCAGCGGAGCCGCCGCCGTTGCACTTCCGCTGGCAGCCGACGGCAAGGCCCTTGTCAAGAATGCGCCCAGCAGTTCCCGCAGGGACTGCCTGCGCTGAAAGTCGTAGAAACTTCTGCTGGGACACGCCCAGACCTCCGACGTCGTGTTCTGTTCCGAGCGTGGACACCAGGAGGTCCCGACCTCATCCTCTGGACTGGCTTTTCATCCTGGGCAACTCAAGGGGGTATGCCTCCAATTTGGGGGAACGGCCGCAATGTGAAATTATTATTATTCCAGGCGCCTGCGGCGGAAATTGGAGGGACGGGGGGTCGGAATGTAATTCGAACGAGGTTCCCAATGATATTTGCGAAACAAATTCGCACGAACCTGGTCAATTTACGCGAGCGCCACCTTGAGTTGTTAATTGATGGTCCTGGGGCCCGGAGGGGGCCCGAAGGCCGAGAGCGGCCAGAAGCCGTCCGTCCCATATATCTTTCTCGCCACGCGAGAGCGTCTGGCTTTCGGGCCCCGTACCTTATGACTCAAGCCTCTAGCGGCCGTTCGGGACGCTCTGGGCACCTCCAGAAAGCCCTCGAGGCGCGGCTGCTGAAGGCACCCCGACGGCACGGCTGGGCGACGCGCGACGCTGGCTCCACCGAGGAGGAGCGAGAGGAGGGGGAGGAGTAGGCGGAGGAGGAGGCGGAGGAGGAGGAGGAAAAACAGGAGGCGGAGGAGGAGGAGGAGGAGGAGGAGGAGGAGGAGGAGGAGGCGGAGGAGGCGGAGGAGGAGGAGGAGGAGGAAAAGGAGGAGGCGGAGGAGGAGGAGGAGGGTGGCAAACCTCTCTGGGAATCTACGAGGACGTCCGTCGAGCCTCGCGCTTCGATGCTCGAGGCCCCCCTCCCCTCCCCAGCGGAGGCGAGGGCGCCGCCCTGGAGCGGAGGCGAAACGCATGCCACGCTCTGCTGCAAGCGGGGGAGGCCACCTCCTCCTCCTCGACCTGCTCCAGCTCCTCCAACTCCTTATCCTCCTCCTCCTCCTCCTCCTCCTCATCCTCCTTCTCCTCCTCCTCCTCCTCTTCCTCCTCTTCCTCCTCCATGCCACGCTCTGCTGCAAGTGGGGGAGGCCACCTCCTGCTCCTCCTCGACCTCCTCCAGCTCCTCCAACTCCTCCTCCTCCTCCTCCACCTTCCTCCTCCACCTCCTCCTCCTCCTCCTCCTCCTCCGCCGTGCAGGAGGCAGCTCCGCCGCCCGTGGGGAGGGAGTCTACTCTTGGGGGGATACCGGGCCCCGTCAAACAAGACTGCGGGGGTGGCCTCGATGTTTGGGGCCCTCTGTGGTCTCTCTGGGGGTGGTCTGCTTCGCGCTGCGCCACGGGGCTCCGGATTTTTGGGTGCGGCTTCGCTGCTCTCGGGGGGGTGTCCCAGACTGGCCGTCAATCAATGTTTTGCCCCCCCTCCCCCCCCCATACACACGATTGTGAGATTTGGAGTGCAGACCATGCTCTTCCCTCCTGCTGCAGAGTGATCCTGGAATCCTGTGCTATCCTTCCTCCTTTGTCCTCCTCGTCTCCCTCTCGCTGCTCCTCCTCCTCCTCCTCCTCCTCCTCCTCCTCGTCCTCCTTCCCCCGCATGTCGGATGAGGTCGACTCTCGGGCCGCTACCATCGCTCCGACGCAGCCGCCTCAGGACCGTCAAAAAACGACCCAGACCCAAAAGCGGGTACCCGGGGAAGGGGTCCAGACCTCTGGGGGTCGACATCATGAAAGAATCACGACGTTGGGGGTCTGGGGCAGAAGGAGGAAGGAGGCGGCTGCGTCGGAGCGATGGTAGCGGCCCGAGAGTCGACCTCATCCGACATGCGGGGGAAGGAGGAGGAGGAGGAGGAGGAGGAGGAGGAGGAGGAGGAGGAGTGGGAGCAGCGGGAGGGAGACGAGGAGGACAAAGGAGGAAGGATAGCCCAGGATCATTCTGCAAAAGAGGAGGGAAGACCATGGTCTGCACTCCAGACCTCGGCCAGACCTCCGGGGGTCGGCGTTGCGAGAACATCCTGACGTCGGGGGTCCGGGCCCTCCCCCTCCCACCCACCCATCCCTGGGCGAGGGCGCCACCGGCCCCGCGGAGGCCGATCGGGGCGGAGGAACGAGGGGGTACAGCAAGCCCGCACAGTAATCGGCGGTGGACGAGCCTCCCTCTAGTATTCAGTCAGGCGTGTCCCCCTACAGGGGGATTTCGGGCGAAAAATAGCACACACACACACACACTCACAAAAAAACCCAATTATTCAAAAATGGTCCCAACATCGTCCTCAAACTATTGTTTTACTATTCTTTGATATTCTCCCTGTAGAGGGACAGGCCCGACTTAACTCTAGTAAACCACCCGTTAGCGAAAACGGCCTGGGACCGAAGCCGACGGACCTGGACCCGCAAAAATGACGGCCGCGACGCCCTCTCGCGAACCGAAAACGGCCAATTCGCCAGTCGACGTGTCAGGGTAGGAGGCCCATCAACCTCCGAAGCAAGGATGCGCTGTAAGGATATGTAAGGATGCAAGGACCATTGGAGGGCCACGTTGGCGTTTTTCGGACGAGGTTGGCCGGCGAGAGACGCGCCAGGGATGGGCCGAAGGGGCAGGGATCCCAGGGTGCCCTTGGGAAGGTTGCCCATCCCTGCTGTGCGGGCTGACTGCAGCTCCTGCCAGGGGTGGGGTCGGCGACTCAGTCCGAGCTCCCAGCCGCCTCCCTTCCAGAGCGGGCGCCCGTGTGCCGCCCCGCGGCGGGGCCGAAGCCGGCTGCACACAGCAAGTTCCGCATCCCCCAGATCCCATCTTCGACTCAGACATCCGGCAGTCTGTTTCCGAAAGATCAGCGGCCCCACAGCGTCTTCTGATTCGGCGTTTCGGCATGGGGCGGAAGGGAAGGGGGGAGCGGTGGGGGTCTGGCTCCGGACCTCTGCTCAGTGCGGCTGTTTGCAGCAGTGCGTCCTATGGAGGAGGCCCCACCTGTCCGAAACAGGCGCCAGTGACGGCCAAGACCTACTCCACGGGGGGGAGGGGGGGGCGAGGGCCCGCGCCGATCGGCAAAACAATGAATAACAAAACCATCACAATTTCCGTTCCGGACTAATGTTTGATGGCCCTGGGGCCCGGTGACGGGCCCCGAAACGCCGAAATCCAGAAGAAGATGCAGGGACTAACAGCAGCAGATCGTGCGCAGCCTGGGTCCACAAGGGCTTTCGTTGCATAACTCGCGCCTCCAGCGGCCGCTCGTGGCGAGGAGCAGCTGCTGCAAGGCATTCCGAGGCTGGAGAGACGCCGAGAACCGACGACCGCTCCCGAAAACCTCAGACCGTCCATATCCATACATGTGATGTTTTGCATGTTTGTGTCAATACGGGATCCCAAGAAGTTCTGACCTCGTCTTCGGTGGCAGCTCATGGGAGCCTCTCATACCATCTTGTCGGCTCTTGCGAATCGACGCTCGTCGACGCTAAATCGATGCTAACTGACGCTGAACCGACGCTCATCGACGCTAAATCGACGTCAATCGACGCGGACCGACGCTGGATCGACGCTCATCGACTCCTGGACGCCAATCGACACTCATCAACGCTAGAGATGGAATTAAGACGGTATACCAAGCTCCCATGACTTGCTACCGAACACTTTTGGGGGATCCCCAAACCATGTGGTGACAGACCGTGCGGTGACCTCGGAACCCCAAGAGACCTCACCGCACGGTCCGTCGCCGCACGGTCTTGGGGCCCTGGAAGGCCCCTGTCGCCCGAGACGTCCTCGGAGAGGGCCTCGAGTCCCAGAACCGTAAGGTGGCCCCGAATCCCCACCGGCTCACCTCACGGTGTGGTCACCACACCGTCTGGGGGCCTGCAATCTTCCCCACTCGGGGGCGGCCAAGAGGGGGGTGTCCAAGAGGGGGGCGTGCAAATCATGACCGGCGGCATGTGCGCGGCCCAGCGGGGGGGCCAGGGACGTAATGAAACAAGAAGAGGCGCCATACATCTGGGGAAATATCATGGCCCTCCATGATATCCACCCCCCCCTGGTCATCACCCCCCTCTTTTCCGCCCCCGACCCACGGCCGATTTTTCATCCCGGGTCGACCCGGGATGAAAACAAGAAACCTCGGGCCCCGAGACCGCCCCATGGGACGATCGTCCCTGGACGGTCCCGTGGGGCCCGGCGAGGGGCTCCCGGAGAGACCCCCCAGAGGATAGCAAGCAGCCGACGGCCGTGACTGCTTCACGACCCGAGCACGTCGACGCAGTCCACTCCGATGGGCCGATCTTCCCCCACCACTGCCATAGGTAGGAGAGGGGGGAGGAGGAGGAGGAGGAGGAGGAGGAGGAGGAGGAGGAGGAGGAGGAGGAGGAGGAGGAGGAGGAGGAGGAGGAGGAGGAGGAAGAGAGAAGGGAGGAGGAGGAGGAGGAGGAGGAGGAGGAGAGGGGAGGAGGAGGGGGGGGGTAGGAGGAGGAGGAGGAGGAGGAGGAGGGGGTAGGAGGAGGAGAAGGAGGATGAGGAGGAGGAAGAGGAGGAGGAGGAGGAGGAGGAGGAGGAGGGGGTAGGAGGAGGACCGCCCCATCCGCCCTTCTCCCCCGTCCTGCCTACGGTAGTGGTGGTGGAACACTGACCCAGCCCACCCGACCCCTCACACCTTGGGCGACAAGCTTTTCCGCGTCCGCGGCCTCGCCGGCCGGCCCCCTGTGGGCACCCCGACCCCGCGGGTCCGGGGCGAGTGTTCTCGCGGCTGTGCCCTGCGCGGCACTCGCGCCTCCTGGCATCCAGCTGGAGGGGGCGTGGACACGGATACTTCGGGAGCCCACAAAGGACGGACGCGCCCAGCTAGGTACATGAACGCGGCCCCTCGATCCGCGAGACTGGCCGCGTGCTACGAACATTCGGGCCATGCCTACTCTCGAAACCAGCGTGGATCCATGTACGTGTACGTCCTTCCTTCGCCCCTGAGACACACGCTCGCGGCTCGTGACCGCGGGCGAGGTCGCCGGCCCCCGGAGGCCAATCGGCGGGCCGATTGGGGCGGCTGGCGATTGGGGCGGCTGGCAAGCGGCCTGAGCACAATGTTAAACTTTTGGCGCTTCGCGCGGATCTCCTGGCCCTGTGCTGGCCCCCCCCCTCCCTTGCGCGCGGAGCGCGCCAGGGGCGGCCCCGGCGGCGGCTCCGAGAACTCCGCGCGGAGCGCCAACAGCTCATGTCGATGCCGTTTCTTCCTCTTCGACGGAGGCCGATCGGCGCGCCGATCGGGGCGGCAGCGCCGTCCCCGGCCGCGCAGGCGCCCCGCTGGTGAACGTTTTCTTTTCCGGCGTTTCGACATTGGGCGACAGGGGGGGGGAGGGTGGTTGGCTCCGGACCGCTGCCGAGTGCGACCGCTTGGAGCCGTGCGTCCTCTGGGGGAGACCCCACCTGCCTGAAGCAGGCGCCCAGACAGCCGAGGTCTGCTCCAGGGGGGGGTGCAGGGCGAGGCGTCGCCGGCCTGGGCGCGGGCTTGAGGCCGGCGCAGAGGCCGTCAGCAGTGGCTTGTGATTTCGGCATAGGGATTTAACTTGGAAGAAGCCCTAGGTGAAACGCCACCGAGATTAATTAATCTCGGTCACGTCTCGCCCGAGACTTCTGGGCCCTCCCCCCCCCAAAAAAAAGAGGGTGCAGGGAGGGGTGCGCGGGCCCGCGCCAAGCGGCAGAACAAGGGACAGACAGACGAGCACATCGGCGCCGTGCCGCCCGCGGGCGACGGGGGGGGGGTGCGGCCTGCTCCGGGGCGGGCAGCACCCGGAGGGGCACCGCGCCCTCGAAGAAGGCCTCCGGGAGGGCCCGCGGGGTGCGGAGGTTGGGGGGGCCTCCCAGGGGAGGGTCCGATCATGCGAGCGACGATCAGGAACGGGTCTTACGCGAGATGACCCAGCGACCTTGCGCGGCGGCTTGCGCGGGCCGCCAGCGCGGCACGCTGCATTGGAGACGGGGACGCGCACGCGCAGCCTTGCGCGGGCAGCTTACGCGCCAGTGTCGGCGCAGACGACCACGCTTTCTGGTGTCGCTCACAAAGGATTGAAGCATCACGCCGCATCCCGATGCATCGCCGATGCATCTGCGATGTATCGGCGACGTCGGGAGAAATAGAGGATGGAGGAGGCCACGACATGCTCGTGCCGTGAAACAACACGGCGCGAGATATTTGGCAACTTCCGGCCTCATGGGGGCCCTCGCCGGGCCCCAGGACCCTCGAACAGCTTTTTGAAAAAAGACAGCTCGGGAGGAAACGCCGGCCCCGAAGAAAGGGTCGGGGCTTCCGAGGACCCCGTGTTGAACAACTGAAGGTGCTGGGTGTCTGGGCGGAGGGCGAGGAGGGAGGACGAGGAGGAGAGCCACCCCGAGAGGCGCCGGCTCCGCCGTCAGCTCGCTGCATGCGCTGCTCGCAGGAAGAGCCCCGAGGCTCAGATGTGCCCTGCGGATCCAGGCGCGGGCTCTACCCGAGAAGACCTGCTGGGCCAGCGCTGGAGAGAAAGAGGGGACAGACTACCCAAAGCGTGAAGTGAGGCACGGAGAGCGTCACTGGCGATGAGATCATCTGGCAGGGCACGGGGGCCCGAACGATAGAAAACGTGAGGGGGGAAGGTGTTCAGAGATCGTCGCTTCAAGGCAATGCAGTGGCAAGAAAGAGCAGAAGCAGAAGAGGAGGTCGAGGCGGAGGAGGAGGAGGAGGAGGAGGAGAAGGACGCGGAGGAGGGCGAGGAGGAGGACGAGGAGGAAGAGGAGGGAAAAACGCAACGATGCTTTCTCATCCAAGTCCGCGACACACCGAAGGAGGCGGGAGGGAGAGGTGGCGGAAGGAACACAGGGAGGGAGAGAGGAGAGAGGGCAGACGAGGGGGGGTCCTCTTCCCTCCTCCTCCTCTCTCCTCCTCCTTCTCCTGGGAGCACTGGGGACGTCCCCCCATTGGCCTCACGGGCACAGGCCCCTCTCCTCTTCTACCCTTCCCCTCGCCCCCCCCCTCCTCCTCCTCCTCCTCCTCCTCCTCCTTCTCCTCTTCCTCCTCCTCCTTCTGCTCCTCCTCCTCCTGCTCCTTCTCTTCTTCCTCCTCCTCCTGCTCCTCATCCTCCGTCCTCCTCCTCCTCCTCCTCCTCCTCTCCCTCTACCTCCTCCGCCCCTTCTCTACCCCCCTTCCCCTCACCACCCCTTTTCCCTCTCCTCCTCCTCCTCCTCCTCTCCTCCTCCTCCTCCTCCTCCTCCTCCTACCCGCCCTACCTCCCCACCCCTTTCCCCTCCTCCTCCTCATCCTCCTCATCCTCCTCTTCCTCCTCCTCTCCTCCCTCCTCCTCCTCCTCCTCCTCCTCCGCCTCCTCCTCCTCCTCCTCCTCCTCCTCCTCCTCCTCCTCCTCCTCCTCCTCCTCCTCTCCTCTTCCTCCTCCTCCTACTCCTCTTCTTCCCTCCGCGGGCTGGGCTGGGCTCGGCTGGGCTGCGCGGCAGTGCCTGCCAGGCACCTCCGTGCTCCATCCATCCCTCTGCAAGGGTCCCGCCAGATCGCTGCCCTGTACTCTGCGTCGGAAACGTCGGTGTGCTCTTCTTTCTCTGTCTCGATGCGATGAGTCGGTGTCGATGGGCAATGCTGGAGGGCAGAGGCAGGGATGGGAGGAGGGAGGAGGAGGGGGAGGAGAAAGGAAGGAAGGAAGGAAGGAAGGAAGGAAGGAAGGAAGGAAGGAAGGAAGGAGGGAGGGAGGAAGCAAGGAAGGAGGGCGAGGAGGAAGGAAATGAGAGGAGGGAGGAGGAGGGAGGAGGAAGGAAGGAGAGGAGGGAGGAGGGGGAGGAGGAAGGAAGGAAGGAAGGAAGGAAGGAAGGAAGGAAGGAAGGAAGGAAGGAAGGAAGGAAGGAAGGAAGGAAGGAGTGACGCGGGGCGCTGTCTTTCGAAACTAGGACCCAACACCAGAGGATCGCTGGGAGCAAATATCCAGAGAGGAAGCCAGACCCTGGGGTGGAGACCATAAATTCTGGAAACACGTCTCGAAAATTACACCAGAGAAAAAACCCAACCAATGGAAATGTTTAATGAGATCGATCATGAGATCGATCATGAATCGTGGGGTCGACAAAAAGATCGATAAGGAGATCGACCGGGAACCCGGAACCCGAAATCGGCCCGGAACCAATAACCAAGAACCAAGAACCCAGAACCGGAAACCTGGGAACCCGGCCGGGCCGGCTGCCAAAATCGGCGGGAAACTTCCGCCAAACCTTTCAGTTTCCGCCAGGACCCCTTCAGCGCAAGCACTGCTTGGGGAAACCATCGTAGCGTCGGAGATATCTGGGCGCACAGAGACCACGACGCCATAGATTTCCACGCCTCCTCTCGCTTTGGGCCTCCCAGGCGGCTTTCGTGGCCACGGCCGAACGCGTCTCGAAGACCTGGCCAGGGCGGCGCCGGGGGGGGTTGGCGAACATCGATGCCCACTTGGGCCTCAGACCTTCGGCGCCCTGAAGCAACAAATCATTGCAGCGACCATTGCCCTGTCCCGAGTTTCGCCTCTGCGGACGCGGGTCCCGGGCCGTCAACAAAGAAAGCCCGCCGTCAGCATCTGAAGAATAAGAGGACGCTCCAGAAACATCGCCTTTCGAAGGTCCGTGGCGCGGGCTGCTTAGATCGGCGCTGGACCGTCCTCCATGCCGCGTGGAGCGCGCCAGCGCCGCCCAAGGAGTCCAGTCCAGATCCGACACTTCCTCCCAGACCTTACACAGTGTGTATGTACGCTTTCTGTTCTTCCTCAGAACAGCAGACAAACCTGTCCTGTGACAACGACCGGGGAGAACGACGCCTGCGGTCCAGAACCCCGGCCCCATGCTCTCGCGATCCATCCCTCAAACCCCGTGGCGTCGTTCGAAAACATGATGCTGTGCGTCGCCCCCCGCGCCAGGAAGAGCTCCGGTCGGGAGCTCCGGTTGAGCGCCTCTCGCAACGACGGCGTGGGGATGTTTCTTCGCGACGTGGGGTGCCCGCCTGGGCTCTCGGCCGCCATGGCTTGGCCGAGAACGTGGCGTCCGCCTCCGAGGAAGAGCTGGGGTGCTCAGGGAAGCGGGTCATGGGCCCCTGGGACAGGTGGGTGTCTCGTCCCGAGCATATCTTTCAACGGGCCCGAGGGGCCGAGGAGGGTAGAGAGCCAGGGGGTCGGGCCTTCGGGTGGTAGCTCGGGTCTCCGGCGGCGGGCCAGAGCGATGCGGGCACCCCCGGGACGCCCCTCGGCGACGCGCAGCTGCTGGGAATCATCGGAAGCGGCGGGAGAGATCTTCGGGCCCGCCAAACACCAAGCCTCGAGCCTCGAGCCTCGAAGACCGCCTCCCCGCGGGCACAGCACTGGATCCGCCTACACGCAAGAGTGACCCTCGGCCAAGGTGACCTCTGATGCTCAGCTTTCGGGGGGCCGCGGGGGGGCGAGGTGCAAGCGCGGAAGCCGGTGGGGCTGGGGCCATCCATGTGAGCCCACATTGAAGGTCGCCCTTTACGCGGGGCCGAAAACTACCCGTTTGAATGGCGCCAGGGACTGGCGGCCCTGCCAGGCTGGCGCCGGTGCAAATTTCCTCCCGCGTGGCCCCGATGCCTGCCCGTCCCAGCGGCGCGCGAACTGGGCCGCCGCCTGGCGCGGGTCGCCGTCGTCGTCGCCGCCGTCGGCGTGATCGCTCGTCGTCGTGATTCGTCGTTCGTCGTCGGTCGTCGTCTCCCTGTGTTCGTCGCCTGTCGTCTTGAAGGTCGTCGCCGCCTTCAGAGATCCTTTGCTGATGGTGGCTGGGGAGGATTGCGAGACACGGACATTTGAGCTAGGGGGTCGGGTGGGAAATAGAGGCAGGATGGAAGGATGCCGGTGGGTGATCAATGATCGCGCTTGTTGTGCCGTGCTCTTATGGAGGGCCTCTGGAGGCTTTCGCGGGGACCCTTGGAGACCACGCAGGAGACCTCAGCACACCTCCCTGGAGGCAGACCTCCACGGTCTTGGACGGATGTCGCCGCGGCGGAGGTGCCTGTCGATTGCTCCGCGCTCAGGGGGCGCTCCTGGGCAGCACAACTGCCTCCTGGCAAGCAGGACTGGCCAACGATCTTCCTGGAAAGGGGTCGAGAGGTCTGGGAGCCATGCGTCGAATAGAACACAACGCGGAGGTCTGTAGCACTTCGGCGGCGAGGCATAATGGCTGCACCAGCGATAGAGCTAAAGGGGGGCACCGAGAGGCGAATTGGCCAGCGTGCAGGAGAGGAGAACAGGACAGGCAGGGCGGCCGCGGTAGGGGGGAGGAGAAGGGGCCACTCCGAGGCAGAAGGCTGCCGGCCTGAGCGTGCTAGAGGTCTGTAGCACACGGAGGAGGAGGTGGAGGAGGAGGGGGAGGAGGTGGAGGAGGAGGGGCAGGAAGAGGAGGAGGAGGAGGAGGAGGAGGAGGAGGAGGAGGAGGAGGAGGAGGGGGAGGAGGAGGAGGAGGAGGAGAGGAGAGGAGGAGGAGGAGGAGGAGGAGGAGGAGGCGGAGAGGAGGAGGCGGGAGAGGAGGAGGAGGAGGAGGGAGGAGGGGGGAGGAGGACAAGCTAGGTGCGCTCGCGTCATATCTGACATCCTACCCCTCCCTCCCATCCCTTACCATGGCGCAGATCCCCTCTCTACTCGCACAGTCGGATGTCGAGCAGGGCAATGATCCCGAAAGGGTACGCGATGCATTGTAGAGCACGGCATGGCATGGCGTAGAAGAGCACCGCAAAGCGTAGCATCAACCTAGCATTGCATTGCAACGCCGTGGCATGGCACGGGAAATGACGCCAGCGCTGCAGCGGGAGCACGCGTCGAAACGAGCGGAAGCGCGGAAATGAGGCCAGCGCTGCAGCAGGAGCACGATTCGGAACGAGCGGAAGCACGAAAATGAGGCCAGCGCTGCAGTGGGAGCACGATTCGGAACGAGCGGGGCCCGAAAATGAGGCCGGCGCCTCAGCGAGAGCAGCATTTTCAAACAAAATGCAGGCGAAAACCCAACTCCAGGGAAACCTGTGTAAAGAACAGTACGCGGGGGGGGGTCGGACACTTTCAAACCGTCATCAAGGGAAGAGGGAGAGTAGTATTCATATTAAGTAATTGTGGAGGAGGAGGAGGAGGAGGAGGCAAGAGGAGGAGGAGAGGAGGAGGAGGAGGAGGAGGAGGCGAAGAGGAGGAGGAGGAGGAGGAGGGAGAAGGAGGAGGAAGGAACAGGAGGAGGAGGGGGAGGAGGGGGAGGAGGGGGAGAAGGAGGAGGAGGAGGAGGAGGAGGCGGAGGAGGAGGAGGAGGAGGAGGAGGAGGAGGAGGAGGTGGTGGAGGAGAAGGGGGAGGAGGAGGGGGAGGAGCAGGCACACGGAGCAGCCCGTTTTCGGCGCGGGGGTGCCTCGGCGCACCCCTCGCACGGATCGCGTGCCCCGGGCGCCCACGGTGCCTCTGGAGTCCAGGTCGCTCTGCCCTGGAGGGCCCGGGAGGCCCTGCGGCCTCGGCCCTCGGCTTCCAGGGGGGCCTGGGCTCTTGCGCTGAGCTCCGGCGCCTCTCGAGCTTGACATGCACATCGGTGCGATGTGCAGAGTTGCGTGCCGACTGCGGGTGCATTCGCGCATCGACTTGCCCCTCGACTGCAACCCGATCCACGGAATGGGCACGTCGATCACACTCACGACGATCGGGATGCAGATTCGTAGTCGATGTTGTGCTGGACTTTCAAGCCGCATTCCGGCGTTGAGTGCGCATTGGCTAATATCGTCTTCACCTTTCGACTTGTACTTTGATGTGCATGCTGATTGTTACTGACTTTACATGTCGATGCAACTTTACACGGGGCGCTCCACGACAGCCACGGGACAACCCGCGGGGCTATACGAGGGAGAACCTACAGTACAGCCAACGAGACAATCGCGATGGCAACCACGAGACAACCACGGGACAACCGTTGTCAATCACGGCTAGAAACCGAGCAACAACCATATTAGAAGTAACATGTTGCATTGTTGTCGCCCTGACGCAACGTGGCCACGCCCGACCACAAGACACGGGCCGACTCTGAAACGAAGTCCCCGGCTGGGGTCGCTCATTTCTCTCGCCCCCCACACCAGGCTCTGATAGACAACGGGTAGGACATGCAGACAGGCAGACGGCGGATGGACGGACCGTTCGGCAGATGGCCTAGACCAGCATTTAGGCAAGCAGGTCAATGGCCACTCCCTCTATCTTCCTCTTGCCGCCTCCCCTCCGACAGATAACGGGTAGACGTACGGACATGTAGATGGCGGATGGACGGACCGCTGGGCAGATGGTCTAGACCAGCATTCAGGGAAGCAAATCGTTGGCCACTCCCCCATCCTTCTCTTCCCCTCCCCACTCCGATAGACGACGGGTAGACATGCAGACAGGCAGACGGCGGATGGACGGACCGTTCGGCAGATGGCCTAGACCATTCAGGGAAGCAAGTCGTTGGCCACTCCCCCCATCCTTCTCTTCCCAGCCACCCCCTCCATCAAGGGTAGACGTACAGACATGTAGACGGCGGATGGATGGGTCGTTCGGCAGATGGCTTAGACCAGCATTCAGGGAATCAAGTCGTTGGCCACTCCCCCATCCTTCTCTTCCCCTCCCCCCTCCGATAGACAACGGGTAGACATGCAGACAGGTAAACGGTGGATGGATGGATCGTTCGGCAGATGGCCTAGACCAGTATTCAGGGAAGCAAGTCGTTGGCCATTCCCCCACCCTCCTCTTCCCGCCCCCCCTCCGATCCATGACGGGTAGGCGTACAGGCAGGTAGACTGCGGATGGACGGACCGTTCGGCGGATGGCCTAGACCAGCATTCAGGGAATCAAGTCGTTGGCCACTCCCCCATGCTTTTCTTCCCCAACCCCCCTCCGATAGACAACGGGTAGACGTACAGACAAGCAGACCGCGGATGGACGGATCGTTGGGCAAATGGGTTAGACCAGCATTCAGGGAAGCAAGTCGTTGGCCATTCCCCCATCGTCCTCTCCCCCTGCCCCCTCGGATAGACATCGGGTAGACGTACAGACATGCAGACCGCGAATGGACGGACCATTCGGCGGATGGCCCAGACCAGCATTCAGGGAAGCACATCGTTGGCCATTCCCCCATGCTCTTCTTCCCGCAACCTCCTCCGATAGATAACGGGTAGACGTACAGACAGGCAGACGGCGGATGGACGGACCGTTCGGCAGATGGCCTAGACCAGCATTCAGGGAATCAAATTGTCGGCCATTCTCTGAGATCCGAGGTTGCAGAAAAACTGCAACATCGCAAGGAAACCACGGCCGGAGCCCCAGACCCCATGTTTCCGCGCTAATTTTTCTCGATCTGGATCGATATGTGAGGGCCCCGGGGCCCGAAACTGGGCGAAAACGCTCGTGGTGAGAAACAATTGCAACGCCAGGATCTCAGGGTACCCCCCCGGACCTCTCCCAGGGTGCGTTCCGACCAGGACCTCGGAGCGGATCCAGCGGAGGCGACGAAGGCCTCCCAGGAGGCCCGAAAAGGCGAAAACGGCCGAAGGGTAGCAGCATGGATGCCTTCTCCTCCTCTGAGCCATTCCCCCGTCCTCCTTTTCGGCCGAAATAGGAAGGCGAAGGGGAGGACGAGGAGGAGGAGGAGGGCGAGGAGGGGGAGGAGAGGGGGAGGAGGGGGGGGAGGAGGAGGAGGTAGGAGGAGGAGGAGGAGGAGGAGGAGAGGAAGGAGGAGGAGGAGGGAGGAGGGGAGGAGGAGGAGGAGCGAGGAGGAGGGAGCGATGAGGAGCAGGAGAAAAAGGAGGAAGAGAAAAAGGAGGAGAAACAAGAGGAGAAAAAGGAGGAGGGAGAAGGAGGGAAGGAGGAGAAGGAGGAGGAGGAGGAGGAGGAGAAGGAGGGAGGAGGGAGAGGGAGGAGGGAGCAGGGAGGAGGGAGGGCGGAGAAGAAGGAGGAGGAAGAGGAGGGAGAGGAGGGAGGAGGATGAGGAGGAGGAGGAGGAGAGGAGGGCGACAAAGACCCCGGGCTGGGCAGGAGGGCGCAGGGGAGCGACAGCCGCGAGGCCCCAGCGGCGCGCGCACCTCGAGGCGCGGGAGGAGGGGGGGGATACGCAAGGCCATCGTAACGAGCCGCCCCCCCTCTCCTCCTCCTCTCCTCTTCTCCTCCTACTCCTCCTCTCCTCCCCCTCCTCCTGCCTACTCCTCCTTCCTCCTACGCCTCCTACTCCTCCCCCTCCCTCCTCCTCCCCTTCCTCCTCCTCCTCCTCTCCTCCTCCTCCTCCTGCTCCTGAGCTATTCTGCGCTTCCTCATCTCCTCCTCAACTCACTACTCTCCTCCATCCTTCCTCCTGCCTCTCTCCTCTCTCCTCCTCCTCCTCCTCCTCCTCCATCTCCTCCCCCCCACCGCATCCTGCCCAGAGAACAGCAGAGAAGGAGCCCCCCACGGCGCAGCTGCCCGAGGCGCGCGCGCGCCGCCGAGGCGACGAGGGCGAGCGCGCCCCGCAGCGAGAGCCGAGGAGACCAGGAGCAGATCGAGGGTCGAGGAGGATCGAGGACCCAGGAGGAGGAGGAGGAGGAGAAGGAGGAGGAGGAGGAGGAGGAGGAGGAGGAGGAGGAGGGAGGAGGAAGGGAGGAGAAGGAGGCACATAGGCAAGGAGGGGACATCGTGGCTGAGCATCGAGGACGAGGAGGTGGAGAGGTGGAGGAGAGGAGGAGGAAGGAAGAGGAGGGGGCATGGAGGAGGAGGAGGAGGAGGAGGAGGAGGAGGAGGAGGATCGAGGACCCAGGAGGAGGAGGATGAGGCGGAGGAGGATCGAGATAGGGGAGCAGGGTGGGGGAGGGAGGTGGAGGGAGCAGGGGGGCACGGCACGACGGCCAACTTCAGGAGGGGGGCTCGGCACGACGCGGGGTCGCATCGCCGACAACCACCGACCGCGGAACACCGGGCTCAAACGAAGGCCTGCCTCGCACGACCGCGTGCTTCCTCCACGGGGCGATGGGCATCGCGCGCAGTGCAGCGTGTCAATGAAAGGGCCCTGGGACACACGAATAGATACACACAAATAGCAAGATTCCCCATATTTTCTTATATTTTCTGGGTTTTTGTCTTCCCCCCAAATTCCGATGTTTTTCCACATTTTCCTGGGAGTCGACGATTAATTCTGTCTGTGTGTTTTTTCCCCTCCTGAGTCAAGCTCGACACATCGGCGACGCAGACCCCATATGACCCCATGGGCTCGGGGTCGTGCAGTCACGAGGAGGGCGAGGAGGATGGGGAAAGAACGCAGCTAGAGGGACAACCAGCTGCGCAAGCATGAACTTCCGGAGATCCGCTCGGATCTCTTGCATCGGCGCTGGACCCCCCCTCCCTCGCACAGATCCGCCGAGGAGCTGCCAGGGGCGATGCATCGCCGACCCCAAATACCCGCGCGGACCTCCGAAAACCACAGCTCCTCCTCCGGAAACTCATCCCAGCGGCGCACGAGCCGGCGCGCCGCCTCGTGCGAGTCGATGTTGATGATCGCGTAGCCCATGTTCTTGCCGAGGCTCAGGTCCTCAAGCCGAAGGCCAGCCGCCGCGCAGACATCCGACATCGAGAAGCCCGCCGCAGGGGGCTTGCGCGCTGGCCGCCGATCACAGCCGAACTACTAGCAGAGGGAACGCCGAACACGAGGCGAGGCCCTCTTTGGGCACAAGGAGCGCCTTGCATCGGTGCACAAGGACAGCTAGAGTCATAAGCATACCACTGCCTGAGGGACAGCACACCCTTCCGAACCAAAAAGTGCTGCTACGTCCAACCTCTGCGCAGCACTCGGAAAAGAACGGCATACGCAGAAACGACAGAAACGATCGGGAGTCCGCACGGATTCCTTGGATGGGCGCTGGACCCTTGCGCGCTCCGCGCTTCAGGGATGGTGGGTCCAGCCTCGATCCAGGAAAGTCTCGGGGACCATGATTCATGTATGGTTTCCTTCGGACTTCCCCGCGACCACTCCTCCTACGCCGCCTCACGCGTCAAGCAGGGACGGTGGATAGTGATGTCCAATCGCGGCGCCGCGCAAGGCCGATCGCGCTGTCGGGCGGGCCGAGCGGTGGTCGACTGGTCAAGGGAGCAGCGTGCTGCGGTATTCAAGCGGGGCGTTTTCCCTTGGAGCTGCTGATCTGCGGAAACAACTTAGTGGAACAGCAGTGGTTGGCAGACTCCGAAGAACAAATATCAGCACAACCAGAAACTCGGGACGTTGAGAACTGGGGGCCAGGAGCTGGATAGCGTGTCGCGCCCATGCGTGCTGGGTCAGAACCGGCGGCGCGACGCGCTAAGCCAAAATCCCTGACCATAAGCATACAACAATCTGCACAACCACGGTCAGTCGGTCCGCGAAGCCTTCTCGGACCGGCGCTGGACCCCCTCCTGCGCAGCCACTGGCACCGACACATTACATCCGCGCAGATGTTGTGCTTATGCAGTTCTCCTATTGCTCGAAGACTGTCCCTCTCTGGCGCGACATGGGGTGACACACGGACGTGCATATGCGGCAACGGGGCGATGTCCTAAAATACGCTTCGCGGCCGCTGCAAGACGCCGAGGCCGTGAGAGCGTAGTAGAACACCTGGTGCTAGGATTCGCTTGATGAGGGAAACGTTTTGCATATTTCCATAGCGTGTCGTAGGCCATACAACCAACTTTGGCACAGCGTTTCGCGGCGGCGGCCCCGGCGACACGCCGTGTCATGCAGGCGGATAGCATTTTGCTCCGCTCCGCGGGGCGGGAGGCTGGGACGCTGATGCCTGGAAACTGGAACCGTGGTAAGAGTGTCGCGCCGAAGGAGCGGGCCAGAACCTGGGAAACCTAAAAGGTACCGATACCGCCACTCTCCGGATCTCTCACGGGGTGCGCTCTGGCCAGGACCTCAAGGCGAACCCAGTGGTGGCGACGAGGGCTTCCGACCCAGACCCCCGACGTCGTGTTTTTTCCATGACTTGAGCCTCACAAGTCTGGACCCCTCCCCGGGGATCGGCTCTTCATCCCAAATCGGCTTTTGATGGTCCCGGGGCCCGGCGAGGGCCCCCCGAGGCCGAAGAGAGCAAAAAACCTCCTCCTCCTCCTCCTCCTCCTCCTCCTCCTCCTCCTCCTCCTCCTCCTCCTCCTCCTCCTCCTCTCCATATATCCCCCTCCCCTCCCCTCCTCTCCTCTCTCCTCTCTCTTCATCCTCCTCCTCCTCCTCCTGCTCCTCCTTCTCCTCCTCCTCCTCCTCCTCCTCCTCGTGATTTCTTGTTCGTCGTGATTTCTTGTTCGCGAGCCGAGGAGGTCTGGGGCCTGGGGAGGAGGCCCACAGAAAGGCGAAGACGAGGCAGAAGGGCGGCAGCAGTACGGTAGAGGGCAACAATTACTGAACACTCCCCCCCCACAAAACTCAATGTCGGCACGCGCGAGGGAGACTGCGGTCGAAGTGCCTCTCATCAGGCCCACCGCCAACGTTGAACGTTGGGGGGAGGGGGGAGCGTCGGCAGATGAATGTGGCATGAGTGTTCGCTGATTT